CTTGCATGGCTGTAGTACCTTACTGATTGTACATTAAACAAGAATGCCACCAAGAAGCAAACCAATATAGAGAAAACTTTTATGGAAAAACCCAACTCACTTTTGTCTCCAAAAACGAGCCTTGTTGAACGGTTCTCACCGCCACCGCCACCGACACCAGTCATCAACATGACGATGAGGGAACTCAGCATAATAGCCGTCGATGCTAAAAGGGTCGATGCCATTATGTTGTTTCTTAGCGTTTGTACAGCCAACACTCCGTTCTTGGATGTGTCCTGTCATTAATTTACATCCTCGACAACGTCACAACATGTTTGATAAATTGAACTGAATATCACTATACAAAGTTTTAACTTTCTTTTCCTCTTCCTCTCTCTCTTACCGAATATCAATTAGTNATGTTTGATAAATTGAACTGAATATGACTATACAAAGTTTTAACTTTCTTTTCCTCTTCCTCTCTCTCTTACCGAATATCAATTAGTGCATGTTAAAGTATACCATAGTCAGCGTATTGGATAGAAATAGATAGTTTTGTAAATAAAGTGTAATTTTCACTACCACGCATCAAACATAAACGAACAATATAATGATTTAAGATTTTATTTCATTTTTAATACTATAAAATACAATCTAATCAACCTTACCAAATAAGTTATTACTGTTTAGATTTACAATTGTGTAACAAAGAAATTTGATCACTTGCTATCCAATCTTTCGTATAAAAAGTTGATTTGAGTGAATGAATAAGTAAAGACAAACCTCCATCATGGCGCGAACCCACAGGCGGCGATTGATTGCATTGATGCCGATTACAGTTCGGTTTGGGTGCTTCAAGATTTGATGGAGAAGCCAAATGTGATAAGTAACCATTAGTACAAGGCCTAATGGTACAAATACATAGTCAACAATTTGTTTCTCCATCTGATAATTGATCAAATCACAATCAGATATGAACCCTAGTGAAGAAATGCAATTTGATATGCTCTGTCCGCCGAATCTGCAACGTATCTACCCCTTTCTCTCTCTATATATATATTTATACACATGAGAAAGTGAAAGAGGGAGAGAGTGAGAGAGTGAGACACGGGTCTGCTTAAAATGAGGTCAGAGCTGACCGAAACAAGCCCAACACAAATTGACACAAGATCGAGACTAATGAAGAGTCGAACTCTCTATCACACGTTTGACGATCATACTTTCTAAGGTCTTCTTTTTTATATATTCATTTTCAATCACGCATTTTTATAATAAAATATTTTTTTACGTACATTCAAAATTATTCACTACTTTTTAACAACACATTCTTAAAAAATTTACCATTTAAAAACTCACTTTTCCAAATAAATTCTGTCAATCAAGAGCTTCATTGTCACATTAAGACCGCAAGTATTGTGTCAGGTGGCCCAACCGGCTAGCTAGAAAAAGTCAGACCGGGCTCAAGCGTCTAAACATGAGTGCTTTTTAATGCCCACAATTAATCCTAAAGCACACATGTGATTGTATCTAGAGTTGACAAGGAGCCCACATGGCATGTTTTCAAGTGGTAAAAGGGGAATGTGGAAAAACTCCAATTTTGTTTGGGGCGTCGCGTCAAGGATTCGAATCCTGAATATGGATTTGGCCCTTGGATAAGTACGAGTGTACAAGCAGCCTTCCACCTTGTCCCCTTGAATGTATAATCCGTAATTTACCTCCTTCACCAAGACCCAAAACAGGGTAGGTGGGAACCGTCAGGGATACGACTTATCCTTTATTTTATTTTTTTAGAGTTGACAAGAAGGATCACTTAACCCAGTAAAATAGTGAAGTCACATGTACATGCAACAACCCTTTAATCTCTTTGGCTCAGTTTGTATGGCGCGCATTTCAACCAAATGTTCCTTTAAAACCCGACCATAAGGTGGAAAAAAAGTTCCACGTGTGGGTTTGCTACATGATCCACCACTTGCAGCCTGTGTCAATGAGTCAAGAGGTGCTACATGGTTTTAAGTTTC